CTTTGTTCATTTCAAGGAGATCTGAATAAACCTCGCTAAAATGAACAAGGGATCTGCAAAAAGCAGCGGTTGGTGAATTCGGCCCCAATCCCTCTCGTCCACGTAAAAGCTACTCCACTTTAAAACTCCAAAGCATTTTTTTTTCAGTTTGTGATATGTTAAACAGAACTATGCACTCTTTAGTAAATAAATATAAATAGCATCTATCCTATCATGTTAATACTGTGAAACACATATAAATCTTACATTAATTCAAACATAACAGTGAAAGAGATTGTACTGTATCACCACAGACCCGTATTCTTTAGAAAAGCTTTGGAAAATTAAGTGTCACAGTCCTAAGAGGACAAAACTCCATGATTAGTAATCAAAATGGATTATTATTATTATTTTTTTTTTAAGAAAAAATAAACTTTTTTTTTTTTGTTTAAAAAAAGTGGCACACTTCGCTAATCTTTTCAGTGGACCTAATAAAAAGCATAGATAAACTTCTTTTTTTTTCTGTAACTGAAATAATTCCGTAACTCATCCTACGAAAAATTTCAACAGCACAATGAAAGACATTCAAGAATTAACGTCAAAAATACATTTTTTTTTTTTTTTTGCCCATAGACCTTCACAGACTTTTTTTTCATCAATAAGACAGCAAAGGATTCACTCACTCTTTCTGCATCTCGGTACAAAATCACTTTACAAATGCATCCAGAATGATAAAAGACTTCACTGGCATCAAAACTAGTGCTTTTTTTTTTGTTAAGGAATAAAAGCAAATTCTTTTTTTTTTTGTTTTGTTTTTCCTCTCCCAGGACCGTTCAATCTGATCTTAATTGGATATTTCTTCAGATTATTACAAATAAGAGCATCTGAAAAAAAAAGTCGTAACTAAAAGGAGAAGTGTTATTTTTAGCCCTGAGATCACAGCTCTAGTTAATTAGAAAATGTGGGTTTTCGATTTTATTTTTATTTTATTTTTTTTTCTTTCTTTCATTTCTCCCAACAAGCAGCTTTTGATTTTGGCATAATCCACGTGTCTTAAAAGCTGTGCAATTTTGTACGCTCAAGTCTGAGATTCTGGATGAAAAGCTTTCCTTGCAAATAGAATCACAATCATCATCATCATCATCCCCTCCTCCCCCTCCCCCCCGCCAATATTTAAAAATAAAGAGGCATCACTCCTTTTGCTGGCGGTCGCGATAGCTTGGGCAACTGTTGGTCTAAGTGCAGCTGGTCTCTTGTGAATCCAACTCAGGAACGGAGTTCTCTCAACGTGGCCAGAGGTCAAGCAAAGTACATGGTGCGCAAAGTGTCTTGGTGGACCTGGACAGCTTTTGCAAGGGCCTGGTGGTCTCGGCCGTTGCTCTGCCCAGACGTGTGGCTCCCTTCGGCGCTGGTAGGATGGAAGGAAGGAAGGGAGGGAGGGAGGGAGGGANGGAGGAGGAGGAGGAGGAGGAGGAGGAGGAGAGGTGAAACAAAATTTTGCTTTGCTTGTGGTTTTCCTTTTTCCCTCGGAGTCAATATTTCCACTTATTTTCAAATAAAATTAAAACATTACGGGGAGCAAAAATGAGATGCTTAGCCATCTTGCTTAGCAAAACAGAGTGACCCAACAATATATATATAGTGCCTTAAATCTCTTTTCTTCTCTTAAACCTATTAAGCAGGTGGAAGTGCAGCCTACTACAAACTTTTTAAGACCTTCTGCATACAACAGGATCAACCTCTCCCCGGTGCATCTGTGGGCAACGGGAGTTAACTGGCACAAAATGAGCACCGGGGCCTTAAAAATGTTTTCCCGGCATTGGTCTTGCTCAGCCAACATCCATCGGTCCAAGCCAGGCTAAGATCCCAAGCTTAGCTTAATCCTATTTTCAACATTTCACTCCATTATCTTCCAATGATGGCTGCACTGCTCTTCAGAAGGAAATGAAAACTGAAATCTTAGGAAGCTTTCAAGAAACGGTGAGTGTTTTTGTTGTTGTTGGGTTTTTTTTTTAAATCGTGCCTGGGAAAATTAGGATTTTTTTTTTTAAAGTCCCATCAGACTGAAAGAGGGGGGGAAAAAAGCTTCCTAACCCACAGTATTTGAGTAGTGTTCCTATTGTCGTCGTCCTATCAGTGCAACAGTAGCTTTGAATATTTGGTCTGATAAATCTTGTGCACAGTTAAGAGACACTTGTATTTCTAGCAGGCCTCTGCAGGGATTGTCTTCTTCAGAGCTAACAGCCAAACCCAGATCTCCTTCCTTCCATTTCTGCGACTTTAGATGATCCAACAGAGAAAATAATAATAATAATAATAATTTATGTGCTTGAAAGAACCACAAAACCTGCTTGAAAGAACCACAAAACTCTAAACTACAGCCTGTGAATTCTCCTAAATCAGGGGTCTTCAAACTTGGCCCTTTTAGGACTTGTGGACTTCAACTCCCAGAATTCCTCAGCCAGGCACGCGTGCCTGGCTGAGGAATTCTGGGAGTTGAAGTCCACAAGTCCTAAAAGGGCCAAGTTTGAAGACCCCTTGTCCTAAATCCTTCCAAGGTACAAGAAAAAAAAAAATGATATAAACACCAAGTACATCTCCCTCTGTCACATAAGGTAGTTGCATAATCCTGTTTCTTTTTTTTTCTTTAAAGGGACAATACATCAGGTTCAACTCTTCTTTGTTCATTTCAAGGAGATCTGAATAAACCTCGCTAAAATGAACAAGGGATCTGCAAAAAGCAGCGGTTGGTGAATTCGGCCCCAATCCCTCTCGTCCACGTAAAAGCTACTCCACTTTAAAACTCCAAAGCATTTTTTTTTCAGTTTGTGATATGTTAAACAGAACTATGCACTCTTTAGTAAATAAATATAAATA